CTTTGTTATTTCTAGGATGTTTTTCCAGACAAAGCAACGGAAAGGAAGATTCTTTCGTTTGCAATCAAATGTCCAAGTGATGGATGCGAGTGGACTGGGGAACTAAGAAATAAAGAGGTTAGTAGTTGAGAGAGATTTTTTTTTGTTTGTTTTTTTTTTTACTTCACCTCATTGACTCGATGGACCTAATTGACTTCACTGATAATGATCACCATTCAAAAGCCTGGCTCAGTGTTAGCTAAGCAACCATAATTTGGGGCATGTGCTTCATGCCATCAATGCAGGCTGAAACCTGATAGAAGAAGAGTACAAATTTGACGACGTGAAATCGTTTTGCCCACCTTCAATGTTTAACCGTATCACTAATATCGAGAAAGAAAGTGACAAATGTTTCCTTCAATTATCTCTTTTTAGAAAACTAAAAACATGACTTTCTCTAATCTCTAACAGACTCACTTGAATAATTGCTTGTTCAAAGTCATACCCTGTACAAATGAGAACTGTCTCGAGGAAGTACAACGACAACAACACAAGCAACACGTGACTGCCACATGTCAGTGGAGAATTCTCAAATGCAGTTACTGTAGTGAGCCACACCCAGAGTGTCAAATGCAGGTAAAGACATGATTAAAGTGAATTGTAGAATTTGATCTCTTTCCTTTTTGTTCTTAGCATTTTTATTCCCATTCTTTGTTTATAGCTGTTAACATCTGGCAAAGAAATTATCAACCTTGGTAATAAAGGATTACTTCTTCGATTAAAAAGACACACACACAGAACAAAAACAAAACAAAATTAAAACTAGCAATAGGATTTAACACTTCATTTAGTAACCTTGAATAAACGCTGAAGATTTCTTATCAATAGGGGTATTGGCGTAGTAGGGTGTGATTCGTACTGAGATTGGAAACTTCTTTGAGAAACATTTCCGCTCAGTTAGCAATTGACTTTTAAAAATACAACGCTTGAAATAGCCAGCTTGAAATACGCGCACTTTAAGTGTGATATCAGAAACAATTGATGAAACAATAAGTTAAGAGGCCTTTGTTTCAGAGCTCCGCCTTGACAAGTTAATGAGCTAAGGCAGTATTCCCTTCGGAGGAAAGCGCGCGTGATCTTCGACCAATGAGAGCCTCCCTGTTTGCGCTTCTCCACTTATATTACAGATCTGCAATATTTTCGACACTGCAAGTAAATGTCGCGAGAACAATTGGCATTCTGCCCAATGATGGCGCCGGACTGCCGCGCGGGAGGTCGAGGGTTCAAGCCCCAGACCTCACCAACACTCAGGGTCTTTAAAATAAATGCGCGACATGTGCTGCCTTTGCCATGACATCTGCTAATGATTAGACATTCTAGTCTTCTCGGATAAGGACAATATACCGTAGGCCCTGTCGCCTGCACCTTCTCTGTATTGGTTTGCAGGGAACGTTGAAGAATCCACGTACTTCTCGCAAAGAGTAGGGAACTTAGCTTCCGGTATTGTGTGTTGTCTTGTTGCTGTTTATACCGGCAGGCCCCCATATAGAACACCTTTAAGCTGACCTGAGCCAGCCTGTCTAAATATCGCAAATACATACAGACATACATTCACAGTATCAATAGCATCATGATGAGTAAAATTTTCGTTACAAAATGACTTACCACTGCTAAAAATGTTAGAAACTGTTCTTACTTGATTTATTCATTTAGGATCACATTCGAAGGTGTCTCAAGCTCCCAGTAACTTGTCCAAACAGTTGTGGTCTTAAAATTTCCAGGGAAATGGTATGAAATCCGTTTTATTTCCAGAATTAAGGGAATGAAAAACTGTCAAGCGAGAATGAAAAGTATCTGCTTCGAGTACGCTAGGCGCTTTCTTGCTTCAAAAATGTATTGGCTTCCAAATTATATTTATCTTTTCTCTCTTGAGGAAATGATTTAGATAAAGACGTCCGTGGCGCAACCTTAACTGTCCATGCAAAATGTGTAGCTGTCTAAAAACGAATACTATGTTTCGCACCTATTTTTTATCTTAACTATCGATTGATTGCTTCTTATCTTTCTTTCATATTTAGTTATTAATTTTATTCTTACAAGTAGATCCCGAGTCACATCAAAGAGGAATGTTTACTCGCCATAGTCTGCTGTCCTTATGTTCAGATGGGATGCGAAACAAAGGTTAGTTTATCAGTTCTTTACAGAATGGACTCGAATCACGGAAAGGTTGACCAGTTGATGTGAAATGCTATGAAAATCGATCAGACGCCAACGACCTTCTAGTCTACAGTAAGAAATGTCAGAGAAACTTGACGGCTAGTATTGGCTAGTTTCTTCAACAGTTAACGGTGAAAGATGTTGAATTTTAAAGGTTGATGTGCTCCTGTTGATAATTAATATCGTGGACATTTTGCCGGGCGTTTAAAGGTTGTCCTATTTATGACTTCATTCCCCTGGGGTTGAGGAATGGTTTTTGGGTCAATTCTTACTGGGTATACGCCGCATGCCTATCAGGCCCCCTACCTCATTTTAGCATATTCTGTGACCAATTCCAAATCCCATCTTAGCCACTTTTGATAACTCCAGTAACAACTTTTTAACTGCGAATCTTGCCATTTTTTACCCGGAGAATATATATATATGCGAGAAATAGGTATGGATGGAACATCTGCTCCTTCCTTCCGTCCTCCCTTCGCTTCCTTTAAACTTTTTCTGAATCCGCTGACCTTTATATAAAGTGTTGGCAGTCGCATACGCTCAAGTCCGAAAAGGTTTATCCACGAAGTGTTTTATTTCAGTGGCAATGTTTCTCAGTCCTGGATCTTTTCTACACTGTCGACAGCGTATGATTTTTTGCACGAAGTTCTCATTGCCGTTCTCACTGCTCAATGCTGTTCGATGGAAGTAGCGCCCTGTCAGTGATTTACCCGAAGGTAACACCAGGACACAAGTGAATTAATTCACAATAAAAAAAAACAAAAAAGGCTTTTAATAGGATTACACAATTACTTGTGAACCAGTAGTTTACATTGTGGTCCTTGCAAACAAATGAAACAAATGGTCTAAATTAAACATAACATCATTAAGAACATCATTAAGAACCCCAACCGGTCGGAGGCAAACCAGTTGGCTATTTGCAAGCGTGACCAAGGATGTGAACTCGGGGCTTCCGTGAAACAAATCCACTGGTGAGGGTGGGACTCGAACCCGGGAGCGGCGGATTACGAGTTTGACACTCTAACCACTCGGCCACACTGCCTCCTTGCTGAAACCCCTCTGCCTTATGATGGATAAGTTATGGACGAAAGAACTTTTGCATAAAACTAGAGTGAGCTGAAAGCGAAATTGGCCGGCTCCGCTGGAGGGAAGGAGTTTAGAGAAAGTTTTCAGACGTTGCTGAGTCAGTCGACTCGCGAGAAGAGAAAGATTGTGTATGCAACGGCGTATAAAAGGTCTTGAGGATTTCCCTTGAGGCAATAGAATACATGCCACGGGAGTACAGGATTATCGATTCGCTAATTAGATATGCGGCAGCCTTTAGCTAGTCTCCCTTGCAGCCGTTTTTAGTCTCGTCACGTAACGTTGGTGGGGAGGAGCGTTGCGTTACGGGACTAAAAACAGCTTCGAGGGAGACTAGCCTTTAGCGAGTGAGAATACAAGTCGCATGTAAGCTACGATTAAATGGAAAAGACTTCAAGGTTCTTCCTCCTCGATTCGATTGTAAGGGAAAGTCGTCAACGTTCTTCTCCTTGCAATCCTGAAAAAGAAGTAAACAGAAAACATATGCTATATACAAGAAGCCCATTTCCATTCTTTCAATCAGTCATTATCCAAGTTCAGAGGCTCATTGCCACTTTAAATTTCTCCCGTGACATAAACATCTCAAAATGATGTTACTGTTACATCAAATGTCAGAGGGCCGGCCATGGTCCATCCCCATAGTAGGGTTCAGTCCCCTCGCATCAGTATAGATTTTAGTTTTTCGCGCGAAAATTTTCATTTTTCCTACTTAATTTGGTGTTGTATGTTTGTGAGATGCGTCTCGTGTCCCTTTAAAGATCCAAACCGTCGGGTATGTTTTAAGCTTTCATTTCGCCGGATTTATTTCGTTTGTTGTCATTTATTGTCGGAAGTTAGATTTCGTATAATTTGATTTTGTTATGAAGAATAAATTGTATGGTTCAAGCAACTATTGAGAAACGTTACCGATGCGTAAGTTACAGTTAAATGGCGTGTCGCCGACGCTTAACTAAAAAAAACACCCTTGCAGAAGTATTTCCATAGGTGTGATTTGCACATCATGGAAACTTAGAGGAAAATATCTCTTTTTAAAGAGAAAGCATTTTATTGTTTGAAACAGNAGGAAGTCGAGACACTGCAAAGACAGTTTAAAGAGAAAGCAATCAAAGATCAAGAAAATGCAATGAAAGAGCAAATAGTGATGGGGAAAAGTGAATCTCCTGGTTTTTCTTCTCTATACATTTGGAAGATTGACGAGTTCAGTAAACTTATGAGGGAGGCCAAGGCCGGTGAGAAGAGAGCCGTGAGTAGTGCTTCATTCTACACAGAGAACCATGGATATAAGCTGAAAGTGGTGATATATCCAAATGCCGTCAACCGTGATGGAAAGGATGTCCTATCCGTGTTCATTCGTGTAATGAGAGGTCAATATGACGCCATATTACCCTGGCCTTTCAACAGGAAAATAAAGTTTACTCTTATAGATCAACAGGAAGATCTGGATGAAAGGGATAACATTATCGCATTGCTCATACCAGACAATGATCCAAAGTGCTATGCAAGGCCTAAAAACGAAGAGAACATAGGACATGGAAAACCATTTATATCACACACACAACTCGAATCTAGGCGCTACGTTGTGGATGACACTTTTTTCATTCAAGTTGAGGTCGGCTCACCCTTTTCAGAGCAATCGGGCTATTCGTGTGTTTAATTGGAAAAATCACTTGAAAGAAGGAAGAAAAAAAGTTAACAACATCCTAATCCTAATCGAGGTAGTTACGTTATTATCGTTGTCATCACAACTTTACTTAGAGTGTGTCACACTATCAGTCTAGTTAGCGCATGTCATCTTTATTCCAATTCGTTCAACCTTGTCACAGGTTAGTTCTTGGACGTCAAACCTTTTGCTTTCACTGGGAGGAACTGTTAACATTTCAGGAACTTTTAGATCACTTTTTAGGTTCCCGGTTTTCCGCTTCTCACCAGCGGGTACTTTTGAATTATGCTGTCCTAAGATCAGTGGGATATATATATGGATTTAGGGCTCTTATTGAAGACAGTTTTCACCGGGTCAACTGACAGAGACACCCCTACGAAATAAAAGCATCTGGCTGTCATTCTGATTTCGAAAAGAAGTGGTGCCGAGAGAATCGTTACGAGGCCGCATCTTCCTCCATCATTTTCATCCTGTAAACTTAAAAAATATATATTCCAAAGCAAAAAGTAAGAATTGCTGTTTACATTCAACAATCTGTGTCATAGTTACTTCTGAACGCCTGATCAATATCGAACTTTGGACAGCACGACTAGTACTACATCAATAAAAGGCAAGTTATCGGAGGCGCGACATAACAGCGAGTGACCAAGGCGCAGAAGGCAGTCGGTTTTTTTTTTCCTTTTCTGTGATCTGATTGGTGGAGGAGGTGCGCATGTTTTCTGGACCAATCACAGAGCGAACTAAGAGGGTCTCAGTGGGGTAGTGGCTTTTACGGCTAACGTTTAATATTTTGCTTTTTTACGGATAACAGTTATTTTTTTTTTTCCATTATGGTTAACAGGAGTTGTTAAAAATTAATTGCGATTGTTCTAAGAAGTTAAATATTAAATTCCATTGTTGTAAGACATACTGAAAGTCTTTAGGCAAATTTGAGATGAAAAAATATTTTTGTGTGCACATTCTCAGTGAACTATAACTTTTATGCTTTTACTGCAGTAGAAAAACATAACGAATACCAAAATAAGATAGAGTTTTAAATTACTTAAAGAAAAATAAACCAGGAACGACAGATCCATGTACATGTAACCTGTGTCACAAGTATATTTAATTGTAGGTGTTTGTTTGTTTGTTTGTAAATGGCAACAATTCTATATGAATCATAAAGCTTTAATTAACAGGTTTCTATGGCCTGGCTTACCATTTTGCGCACGTCTAAACATCAAACCTTGTCCAGACCTTGACCTGTCGTCCAGACCTTGTCATTATTGACTTACCAATAACCAGTTCTTTTCACTCAATATCGACATTATTGTCACTGTCATCCGAATCGCTCTCGTATTCCTCCACCTGGTTGAAATCTGCAGTTGACGGCTC